AAAATATGTTAGTATAAATTAAATTTATTATTATATCTTTATTAGTAGTATTTCTTCATTTTTTTGTTGATTTTTCTTAAACCATATACAGGATAAAATGATGGAAATTTGACAAAAAATTATTGATGAGGGAGGAATAGTTGATGAGGCAATAATTTGTGCTAAAGTATTGGTTGAAACATCTTCATATATTCATGGCCTTTATTATGAGCCAAAGCCAATGAAGGAAACTAAATTGGTTAGATCAAATGCATCGTCCAAGAGAGAGATCGAGTTTGAAACAAATTTAAAAAATTATACAAGAAAAATATTAGGAATAGAGTAAGATTATTAAATGTCAATAGAAAACGATAAATTGGCTAAAAATAGTAGAAGAAAATATTGACATGCAGCCCCCTAACTATGATGGCAAGTTCTTAGTGAAAGAGCTTGCTACCTGTAAGAGTTTGCAAGCTGGAAGAAAGAATACTAGAGAAGGAGGAAGAAGAAGCAGAGAAAAGATTAAATTACTGTAGCATCATATTTTCCTTCCTAATCATTCATACAATAGCATCGTGTATATATAGATAGAATTAGGAGACAAAATGATGAGAAGCCGTTGGACACAGTCTGCAGGAAGATTGGCGCTAAACAGAAGATCAACGACAGCAGGTGGTCCACGCACGGTTCAGTTGGTAGTGGCAAACAAAGACTGAGAGTGCTAACATCCCCCCGCAAGTGGTTGTCCAAGTGTTGGACTGCCAACTTGCGTCGTAACTGTTGGAACCGGGAGGTTAGGAGAGGTTTGGTCAGAATGTCAGCCGGTTGATCAAGTGAACTGATGTGCAGAACAAAATGGCAGCTGCTCGAATGTGTTCACTGATGAAATGATAATCAAGCTCAATGTGCTTAGTCCGGGCATGAAATACAGGATTGTGTGCTAAAGCAATAGTAGAGGTGTTATCACAGTATATGGGAGTAGGTTCTGACTGAGTTGCATGAAATTCATGTAGAAGATGTCTTAACCATAGGACATCTGATGTGGCGGCCGAGAGAGCCCTGTATTCAGCCTCGGTAGATGATTTGGCAACAGTGGCTTGTTTCTTGACATGCCAAGAGACGAGATTTGGACCCAAGTAGGAGAAAAAACTAATGACAGACTTGTGATCAGCTTTGTCCGCAGCCCAATCTGAGTCAACAAATGTGTGGAGTTGTAAGTCACCGGAGCAAAAGGGGATGCCAAAGTTTATAGTCCCTTTAATATAACGAAGAAGGCATTTTAGGGACTGAAAATGCTGATTGGTTGGATGATGCATTGATTGGTAAATGTGGTTTGTCGCATATGCTAAGTCTGGACGAGTGATTGTAAGATACATTAGCGAACCAGCAAGTCTGCGATATAAGGTTGGATCTGAAAATGGCTGATGTGCATCAGAGCAAGCTGGTGGTTTTAGTGCCAGTGGCGTGGAGACAGGACGACAATTGGAGAAATCGAACTGATCAAGTAAGTTTTCAGCATAACGAGACTGATGCAGAAATAAGCCAGAATTCATCTTCTGCACTTGTACTCCAAGAAATGTGAAAATAGATACAAGCTCCTTGAGTGAGAAATCTGTCTTGAGTTTCTGTATAAGTGACTGCATAAGAGAGTGGTCATTACCGGTGAGAAGCAAATCATCAACATAGATTAGGAAGTACAATGAGACATGATCCCAGTTGAAAATTATAAGAGATGGATCAGATTTGCTAAAGTTGAATCCAAAATCTCTGAGTGAGGTGGTGAGCTTGTCAAATCACTGACGTGGCACCTGTTTGAGACCATATAAGGACTTATGCAATTTACACACGTAGTGATGGGAAATGTTCATCAACAAAACCTTGTGGCTGCTTCATGTACAAGGTGTCCGGTAATTCACCATGTAAAAAGGCATTAGCAATGTCAAATTGGAATATCGGCCAGCCTCTAGTTAAAGCGATAAGGATTAGAATCCGGACAGTTGGCATTTTAGCCACTGGGCTAAAGGTTTCCTTAAAATTAATACCATACTTCTGAGCAAAGCCTTGAGCCACTAAGTGGGCTTTGTAAGTCAGTGATTGTCCATCTGGTGGAAGTTTAATTTTAAAAAGCCATTTGCAGCCAAGGACGAGAATATTAGCTGGTGGTGGTGTGAGAGACCAAGTGGATTATTTTTGTAGAGCTAGAAATTCTTTGGACATGGCAGCACGCCAATGAGGAGATTTGTTAGCTTGGGCATAGGATGAAGGAGTTAAGGTTGATGTGGTGACAGCCGATAGATCAAAGATTGTTTTAGGTTTAAGATGCCCGGTCTTAAATCTAGTTTGCATTTGATGTTGGGTAGGAGGAGGAGTGGGAGAGGGTGGGGGCAGAGAGGTAGTATTGGAGGAAGTTGAGATTGTGGGAGAATTGAGAGAAGAATCAGTTGATGTTGAAGTGGTAGAAGGGGATGGAAAAGCAGGTTGTGAAGGATTGACATGAGGCGACATATGTTGAATGGTGGATGTATGGATAAGCATAAACGGAGGAGATACTAATGGAGTGGAAGTTGTCTGTTGAGGAGGAGGAGAGACGTGATAGGGAAAGTGAGTTTCATAAAAAACAACGTGTCTTGAAATATGAATTTTACGGGTTTGAAGACTATAGCATCTATAACCTTTTTGAGAGGTGGAATATCCGAGAAACACACAATCTTGAGAACGAGGTTGAAGCTTGTTTGTGGTAAGAGGTCTAAGCCAAGGATAGCATAGAGACCCAAATGTCCTTAGGTGATTATAGTTTGGTAAGGTTCCATGAATAGTTTGATAGGGAATGGTGAGATTACAAGCTTTAGTTGGAAGACGGTTGATGAGATAATTAGCAGTTAGTAAAGCTTCAGCCCAAAAGAGAGAGGGAAGATTTGCTTCATGAAGCAGAGTGCGAGTGATATCAAGAATATGACGATTTTTACGTTCAGCTAAACTATTTTTTTCCGGTGTATATGGACACGTTTGTTGGTGTGTGATACCATTCGAGAGCATATAATTGGTGAAGATAGCACTATTATATTCTCCGCCGCCATCGGTGCGAAGAATTTTAATTTTGGCATTGAAGAAATTTTGGATGAGATTATTATAGTGTATGAATTTAGAGAGAGCTTGATCTTTGGAATGCATTAAGTAGATCCAACAAAAATGAGAATGAGCATTTATAAATGTGATAAAATAGCGATATCCATTGATAGAGGGGACGGGGGAAGGACCTCAAACGTCCGAATGAACTACAGAAAAAGGCATAAAAATAGTAGTGCTACAATTGTTAAAAGACAACTTGTGGCTTTTTCCCACATTACAAGAGCGACAGAGTAAAGAACTAGATGAAATACATATAGATGGAACAAGTTTAGCTAAGGCTTGCAAAGTCCGGTGATTGGGATGACCAAGGCGAGAATGCCACGGAGAGTTGGATGACTTTGTTGCAGTATGAAAATCTGAATTGTGATTGGTAGTAGATGTGGAAATAGAGTAGAGACCATTACGAACTCGACCACGAAGAAGGATTTGGTGGTCCGATTGATCCTGAATGACGAAACCGTGGGCATCAAATGAAATTGTGTAGTTATTATCTGTGGTTAACTTGTGAATAGATAAAAGGTTATGTGATAAGGTAGGAATGTGAAAAATATTTTGGAGATATAGCTTACGAGGGGTATTTGGCAGAGGTAAAATTCCCGGTCCTTGATGTTTGATAGGCATATGGCTTCCATTTGCTATAGAGACAGTATCAGAACATGCATAAACTGTCGGATATTGAATGGTATGTGAGTCAGCTGTGAGATGATTTGTTGCACCGGAGTCAAGTATCCATTACGATGTGTTGTTGTTTTGGTTTTGAGAAAGCAGAGCACGATTGGGCTCGGGAGATGGAGATGAGTAGCGATACCAGCAGGTCACAGCAGTGTGACCGTTCTTGGCACAAATTTGACAGGTAGGGCGGGTATTCGGAGCAACAGCTTGTGGACGTGCAGCATTCATTTGTTGTCAAGAGTTCATTCCACGGCCTCTTGTATTCATTCGTCCTCTGTTATTTCTTCCTCGGCTGGAGTAAAATGCTAAGTTGTCAGATTGTGGAGGTGCATCCTTTCTCAATTCATTTTGTATATTTATTTCTTCACTACATAGGAGAGAGTACAATGTCTCCAAGCTGATAGGAAGCTGAGAGGTTCGTATGGAGCCCTTGAATGAATTATACGAAGCCGGCAAACCATTGAGAATGTACATCAAAATGTCTTCAGTGTCCACATGAGAGCCTGCAGCAGCTATATTGTCCACAAGAGTTTTGACATGGGTCAGGTATTGTGTCATTGAAGAATCTCTCATATGGATGTTGTGCAACTCATTTTTGAGTTGTATCATGCGCGATCTGTTGGTCGGCTGAAGTCTGGTGGCCAACGTCGTCCAAATCTCGTGTGCGGTTGACAGATGGAGTACATAAGGAAGCACTGAAGGATATATAGTTGAGAATAGAGCTGAAACCAGGTTTTGATCTACAAGACGTCACAACTTGTATTCTGGATCAGTCGCAGAACAGCTCGGACAGACTTGTTGTCCCGATAGATAACCTTCAAAACCATTAGATGCAAATAGCTTGTGAATCTGAAGACTCCACGATGCGTAGTTCTCGTTCGAGAGTTGAAGGTTAACTATGGTTTTCAGGTTAGACATCAAAAACTTTAGCGGGGCAGGAATCGTGAATTCTGCCATTGATGAGGTCAGGGAGGATACCGGAGGAGCAACGGGAGTTGCAACAGGCGGAAGAGTCGCGGAAGATGAGGAATTTGGGTTCGTCATAATTCAGAAGCTCCGAATGCTCTGATACCATGAAAGAGCTTGCTACATGTAAGAGTTTGCAAGCTGGAAGGAAGAATACTGGAGAAGGAGGAAGAAGAAGTAGAGAAAAGATTAAGTTACTGCAGCGTCATATTTTCCTTCCTAACCATTCATACAATAGCATCGTGTATATATAGATAGAATTAGGAGACAAAATGATGAGAAGCCGTTGGACACAGTCGGAAGGAAGATTGGCGCTGAGCAGAAGATCAACGGCAGCAGGTGGTCCACGCACGGTTCAGTTGGTAGTGGTGAACAAAGACTGAGAGTGCTAACACTTAGAACAAGCTAACAAGGTTGATTAAATAAGATAAAAATTTTGTTTAACTAATATTCTAACTTTCTTCTTGTAGGGACCGACTTATCAAATAAAGAAAATAATTATTAGAGTCATGATTGATTTCTGTGGTGTGATATTGTATTGTTTTCAAGTACGTTGTAATTAGTTTTTGCAAAATTTGTTGACTATGGTGAAACATTGATGTTTGAACTACTAGTTTCAATAATTACTTCTAAATGTTATTTTCATTTATCAATTTTTCTTGTAATTCAATCTATGCATTTGCAATATGTATTTCCTTATAATTTTTAAATGTGATGGACTGCATTATTATCCCAATATAACCTGAAGACACAACAGCATTTTATAAATATATTTCAAACTTCCTAATAAGTTTTCAGTACAAAATCAAGAGCCATTTTTGTATGAGCATTTATTTCACACCTATAATTTTACACCTGTAATTTGAACCAGAAATCTCATAGAACTTTTATTTCTATGTAAGTTGACCTAATTTTGTAATTTTGTACGATGTTTAATATGGCTCATGCATGGTTGGGGCTTATCTCAACTTTGGGTGTAGGCCAGGACAAACTTACTAGCTACGACAAAGAAGGTTATTTATATTAGTTAATCTAAGGTGAATTAAACTAATTTGTTAGTTTATTCATTTTCTAATCCTTAATTAGCTTAATTATCCATAACAAAAACCTAATTAATATTCCTCATTAATAACAATATCAATTATTAAAATAAAAAAAGATCAATTATTAACAAATAATTAGTTAAATTAATTAATCAAATACTTATTAAATTAGTTATAATCATCAAAATTCTAACCTAATGTGCAATATTATTTTTCAATTAACTTAATTAATTATGATAATCTAATTTTGTTATCTTTGATTCCTGGTTTGTAAGCTAAATTAATATCCAATTTATTGACTAGTTATTCTAATTTTTTAACCAAATCTTTTATAATTGCTTTTTTTCTGTTTGTAGTTCCTTGAGGAGTCCAACATGGATGTGATGACTTGATATTTTCATCCCAATTGATATTTACTTCGGCTTCGTGTGTACTTATTATAAGTATTGCTCGAATAGGTAATTGTTCTTTTTATTGAATATTTGGTGTTTTGTATTTCGTAATCGTTGGCATGTTTATTATCACAATGAGGGAAGAAGTGTCTTTTAGATTTCATGTATAAAAGCAACTTTCTTACTGCATGTTAAAATAATTTTTTAGTTTTTTTTTTTTTTTATGCTAAAAAACTATTTTAAGCAATAAGAAGGCTGTCTCAAATGAGACCTAAATCTAATTATACTAATGTATCCATGAGATAGACTTATATACACTACCAAAAAATAGAGTTTTTGCAGCACAATTTTTGACATATCTCGGCGGTTATACCCGCCACCTTTTTCATTGCAGCAGTTTCAAAACTGTTACATTCCAGCTGTGTTTGTAATACGCTTCAATGACATTCCGCAGCGGTTCAAAGACCGGCGAGGTAGATTTTACGGAGTGCGTATTTTTATAGCAGTTATGATCGCTGCAAATGTATAGAATTGTGTCGGTTCTAACCGCGACAATTCTGTTACAAATGAACTGATTGCCAGTAATGTGGCGGTTTTTTGGGCTCTAGTGGCAATTATAACCGCCACTAAAGTCCAGAATTTTTTTTTTTATTTTTGAAACCTGATCCTTCACCCTAGAGCTAGATAAGTTGGCCAGCCAACTGTGCCACAGAAAACAAATCAGAGACATTCACTAAACTGAAATATAAAACCCACATAAACAGGAGTTGTAGTTGAAACAAAAACACAAGTAAAATCATAGAGATTCACAACAACAAGAGAATATTGAAAAATATATTTGAATCACATGACTAGAATAATATATTTGAGTCACTTCCTCATTTGGAAATGAAACCAGCTCATCATTTTCCATAATTCTCATATTTTTTTAAGAGGCGATACTTCTTATTTCAGATCAATTAGCAACATTGATGGATCACTTAAACTGAGAACGCTGAGTATTGAGATGATTTACCACTTCAACTGAGATTGCTTAGTATTGAGATGGCAATTATTAGAGGTTGGCACTTCTCGATGTCTTTAAGCATGATGAATGTCGTACACTAATTTTCAAGTATCTTAGTGCTACAAGTCTTGCTATTTCATCAACTAGAGGATGAAATGTAATGTTTTGACAGCTTGATGAATGTCACACATCATTCACCATAAAATCTATAAATATTCCAAATGGCAACATATGAAGAGAGATTAAGAGATAGCAGAATTTAGTAAAAACAAAAATTACCATAAGTAACCCAAAAAAGTAATACCCAAGCGTCATTAATTTCTCCAAAGTAAGAAAGGAATTGAGCATTTCAACAGTAAGAAATCACTAAATGCCAAGTCAAACTCAAGACAAATTACTATGGAACACTATTCCTCATATATAACAAGAAAGGAAATGAGCACAAAATAACAACCACCAGAGTTCAAAATCAAAACAACATAACTTTGAAATTACATAAAATATTCATACAACTAGAAGCATCACATTTAATACTAGAGTTCATCAGCAGACTATCAGGCATCAGATGAATTGTCATTACCCTGAAAATAATATGAAGATAATGAGATAATAATAATCAAGTAATTTACATTAAACTTAAATATTTTTTTCATACAATTTCTGATCCTCCATGGGGTGGATGATTCATTTGAAATTGTTGCACAAACTGTCTCATCTAATCATGAAATGAGTCTAACTCTCTCGTCTGATTATCACGAAATGATCTGAACTCCTCTCTAAGATTAACTATCTATCCAAAGTTTCTGCCGCTACCACTACCTTCTTCACTCTTTCTTTGAGGAAAATATCTAGTCGGCGTAATACCAAAT